GGCTTACGCACTCGCGGTGTTCCATAATGACCCACCACATTTGGATTGTTTACTCCAGGGTCACTTAGCGCAGCTGACTATCCCTGACGCATATGTCCCCGTGTTTTTGCTTAGCACTGTTTGATTTACTCGTTCCATTGTCACCGCGTTGTGCGCCTGCTTGTTCGCAGTCCTAACTAGTTAGACTACTGACTCCACAGATTATGGTGTTCGTTGAACCGGATAGCGCCACAGTTTGAGGTTTGCAATCTGTACTTTGTCATCGCTTCGTAGAAGAAATCCGTTAGTTGAAAGACAGTCTTGGGAATTTTTACGCGGATTGCTGTTGCCTATGAAATCAAAAATGAACCTCGATGTCGAAAACAGAGCACAGAATTCAACTGTGGGCGCACACCTTTTCAAATATTCGGGCCTGATAAGAAATGACAACAATCACCTCACTATTGTCGGTTCAATGAGATGTCCTTCAGTATCCCCAGCCTGGAAGGTGAGAGACAACTGCCCCACCTAACCGCTCTATACAATTCTTTATTCCAATGCTCTACATCACCTGCTGACGTGTAGCCGGAAGGTTCAACACCAAATTGCGGAATGACTTCTGTAGATGGAAATACAGGCTCACATTTCTGTGCGACAGAATGAAGTATATCTCAACGGAATTGTGAACTTACCGAATACGCGTGTAAGCATACAGCAAATACACCGCGGTGTTTCCTTTGTCCTCGAGCATCTGAACATTTGAAAGCAAAACGACAGAGGGGAAAAAGTGCGCTTTAGGTTATGCATGCAACATTTCTATGAATCAAAATTCCGGTGCTTGAACTGAAAGTAAGTCCAGTTCTAAGTACAAGGATGAACAAATTTCATTCCAAAGCGTCCTCCGGTGTGAAATGTGAAAGGTCAGCTTTCAGACTTGAGGAAACTTACTTGGTACATGATAAGACTAACTGAAGTCGGTGGAAATAACATATCTCAAGTATTTAAATTGTGAAATTTCAACGAGTCTGAATGATCAACAAATCGGGAACAAGTGACAACTTGGTATACGTGGCAGTCCCGACGTCAAAGGAGATGTATAACAAATTCAAAGGGATTCCACGAAAAAATCGCATTATCAAACCACCCAGTGATTGATTTTATGCTTTACTGAAGATGAGCAGATCTACTGCTGTGGAGATATGCCACCAACTGCTACGTTGACTGTGAATTATAAGTGAAGATCGATACGACAGATGGTAAGCTTTGAATATGAACAGAGAAATGAAAAGTGGACAAGATCGTGTGCTACATCATACCTGGGTTTAAGCAAATGTTACATGTTTGTAGTGGGGCTGAGGAGGGAGAGAGGTTATTCCATCAACTAACCTTATCGAAAGAGAAAACATAATCATTTATGCGGTTATGTGACAAATCCGCATACTTGATACATCCGTAAGCCACCGCCTCTTGAGCGTTTTTGAATTCCTCTTCAGTGAGTTCCTGTAGATAGGTAGAAGACAGTTATGACTGAAACCGCGCGAAACAGAGAAATAACCACCTAAATGTGTACAGAATTCACCTAACTGAATGGACAATTCTCAACTGATGTTCGAAATGAGTTAAATCAAAACCGAAAACCAGCGATATTTGGGGGGCTCATAGAGGCAGAATATAATGGTGCTATCAACGAAAGACGATGATATTAAGGGGATGGAAGTGTGCCTACGATTGAAGCGCCGAGAAAAAAAGAAGCCACTTTGTGTCACCATACCAGAAGCCGGAAGAACATCCGTCTCTCTGATTAGTGTCGGGTTGGTCCAATCCCTGATGCCTCATTTCCTCCCTCTTCTTCCTGTTTCACATCTACAGTACTGGCCGATTGTGATGCACTAAACTATTTTCTTTGTAATCAAAGGGACTTTCATTATATTTATCACCCATATTAATGCTTTAGGCATGGACAATAATTTATATCTTGTCTACTCCGATGTACGTAGTTTCTGGGCTGCGTGATTGTCAATTAAAAGTGTCTGACCTTGAGTGCCAGGAATAAATGCTTTGAACTAGAGAATCGCGAAATGTATCAAGTATGAAAACGCAATACTTTCCAATAAGAATGACCCAAAAATTATCCCAAATTATTTCCGTCAACCCTTGCCATTTCCCTTATTTGTAATGAGGCATTATTTTATCTAACGTATAATCCAGTATAGCAACGCTATCGGATAACCAAATGAAATTCTATCACAACCCAGAGAGATTGCATTAAATAAGGTTTCATAATAATAATCTATGTTTGATATCTAACTCAATCAATTTGAGAAATACCACCTCAATCAAAGTCAACCTTGAAATCAAGGTCATTTTTGTGCACAGCTTTGAATGTTCGTATTGTTGTCACCATAATGAAGCAAGCAGCGCTTGAAACCAAAAGCTCCCGCTACATTTCGAACCATTCCATCTGCTGAGTATAAACGATTCAGGAAAATCACGGATATAAAGACTCTCCAAGACTTGTTAATTATTAGTTTTGAAAAACATTTACTTCAGTATAAATGCTGTTGCCCATACGAACCGACAAGTGTTTCACGGGGACCTGTTGCTTCAGTTTCGATTAGACCTGTATACCAGTCAGCCCGATAAGAGGTGAAAGATTGCAGAGAGGCATTCGTTACCGTAACCTTTCGCTGAATATTGTCTATAATGATGAATAAACAACCATTCGTTTATTACTGGATCTGAACACTTTTGTAAACGACCAGATCAACATGCTCCGATTGGTGAAATTTCCACGCAGATACCTGTATGGATCAAACATTCAAAGAGGTTGCTTAGACAACTGAGGACATGACTGGCATAGACATGAGAGCACGTTCTGAGTAGCACTCTAGTGCACTACATTTAATCTTCAAGAATGAACTAATGGTATTTGAGTGGAATGGAAAGATCACAACCTTCCGGGGGTAACTGGTGGAAGGCTGGACTGGCAAACAGTGAAACGACACCAGAGAGACAACCAAGGCTTGAAATCTAGTTGGTTTGATTCGACTAAAACAACGCTCATTTTCAAACATATGATGAGTGATACTTTTCGCTGCTTACTGGTGACTATAGGGCTGGGTGATTAAGGACATTCCGGGATGAAAATGACTGGAAGAAAAAAGTAAGCATGGGGGAGAAGATGAAAAAAACTAAGTGAGCACAAATGGTTATCACTCAACCCCTATCTTAAACTGCAATCAGTTCAGAAGCTTCTCAGACATACTATGCCAACGTACCATCCACACTAATGAAAAGTATTGGAAACAATGCGCAGCTGCTTTATCTTTGTTAGGAGGCATCAAAATAACAGTTTGTAAACGTGGACAGAAATAATCGAAGCGGAAAATGAGCCAACTAACTTTATCTCGACCCTTTTCAATTAGACGGTTTTTGGATCGCTCGAGACCCTCGTCCAGTAAATCAACCAAACGAACGGTTTCACCTGATCGGGTCTTGAATTTCTTCCTGAAAGTGGAAATCCGAATATGCGGTTAACGTAGACAAACATGTGATGCTGATCAAGAATGGGAAAGACGATGAGCATGGCTACATGCCCACAATCCAAGTGACATCGTTACTTTTTATTACATATCCTTATGTGATGAACAGCAGATGGAGTAACTCCCATAGTCCTGAAGACCCGTTGCTCGGTCGTGCAAACCGGTAACCTAGGCACCGGGACTTGGAGTGGGGAACGACATAAGGCCACGCTAGTTTAGGTGTGGTATTGAACCGGATGACAGCAAAGCTGTCTATCACTTAAGTCAGATGGCGGTGGCCGGGATAGAACCTCCGATCACAGGGTCGAAAGCACGCCGATGACAACGACTAAACCGTTGCGCCACCACACCCGTTATACTCTGCAACTCCTCGCAAGACGTTCAACACGCCCTGTGTAAGTTGTTCGTCATGCAGTTTGGTATGATATTTTCTTCGTCGAAATGTAAGGTATTTCGTGTTTGACTCACAATTACTTGTGATTAGTGGTGTGGGATAATTGGTTTTTAGTGATTTGAGCTGACTCTTCGAGCGAAACNCGAGTCTAGTGCTTTCCGAGTGTATGTTGAATCGATGAACTGAGGATTGTGCGTGAAGGTGAAGTCCGAAGGATAGTCAGCTCAAATCAATTAGAAATGTTAGGTCTTGCTACAAGACTGGCAAGGGGCTCCATCTATCCTCACGCTCATGAACGACCAGTTGGAAATCGTTGATCACTTTACTTATTTCGGGAGCTATTTCAGCTCAAGAGGATTGACTGA